GTTCAGTCATCGATTCTTGGCGTCTGAGACTGAAAGCCTGCGTGGATGCAGGCGGTGGACGATTCGAATGAGACTGTGAACTTTTGCTTGTTTCCCTTTAGTGAATCATGTGACTAAGTTCTAAAAATAAATTTTGTTCCGTTGTTATGTTGTCATCATTTTAATTTTGTCAAAAGACTTATGGCGCACCCTGTATTTACTTCAGTATAGTGCGACACCATGTATAAGACGCACCCCCGCTCTTGAGGTCCCAATTTGTGTAAAAAAAAGATTCCTCGCGTATGTACCCCCCTATTTTGTAGCGAAAAGTGTCGGACAAGGGAGATGAATAAGGGGTAAAGCCTGTCTTGAGGTAGGTCGAACCTCGTTTCTTATTCACTGTCCTGACCTTTATCGAGGGGGGGGCACAGTATCCCTAACGTTTGTTTTATTATCCGTGAAAACGGATGGAAATATACGGCGAAATAACACAGCTGCAGAGAAATCCATGTGATTCAGGAAGCAAAGGAGCTGGACATCCATGCAATAGGTCATAAGTATGACATCGAGGAAAGTTGAATACAGAAGCGGATGGAGGCGAAGGCGAAATTAAGCCCGGCTCTAAAGAATCTCATGGCCTTTCGTGGGGAAAAAGGAATTATTTCCGGTAATCAAGAAGGGAGTGACCGAAAGTGATGGAGACGTGAACCCATACGATTTCGAGAGCAAATGGGATCTCCCATCGAAAATTCAATGCATCATGAGGTTGAACGACGCGATTCATAAGCAAGTTGGATTTTCTGTTCGTCGGAAAACGTCAGCAGCTTTCCATGAGAAATTATTGTCTCTGGAACGGCCCCTCGGAGGAGGATGTGAGCTCCGCGAATCAATTTTCCACGCCGCCAGACACCTCAGATTCCGATTCCGATACTGAATGAAGTCCGCGAATCAACGTACCCACTCCCTGTTTACCGTTTTATAATTATTATATTTCTCCTGTTCTGACTGACTGCTGACAGTTTCTGCCTCAAATTAGTGATCAATGAGTTATAGGTACGCTGAAAATTTTTTTTTCTCGAAAAAGAGAATTTTTCCCTCGAGTATAAGACGCACCCCCTCATCAAACACAATAAAATATGAAAAAAAAAGCGCCTTATACACGAGTAAATACGGTATATTTCTCAAATCATAGCTATAGAACACTGTCAATGTCCTATGACCAAATTTGGCCAAGAGTTAACTTTTCTGCCTAATGGTATTTAGCATGGTCATTTTACACAGTATTTTCATGATCATCAATAAACAAAACCTCTAATCCAAGCTGAAAGCTCAAAAAGTGCTGGAAATATAACAAGAAAGGAGATTAAGGGAAGGAGGCTGGAAAGAATGGAACTAAATGACTAAAAGAATATTTTACACATTTTTTATTGAATCTATGACATTGAAAATCAAGCCTAATTTCTTTAATGTCCTAAGTCCAAAAAAATCCATAAGCTGCCCTATCCACTCTCCTTTACTAAACACCATTGGGCATGGTATAGTAGGGAGCACCAATTAATAAGCCTGTTGGACAAACCATAGATGCGATTGAAAACATGTAAGCTCGGGTTTTCTTCCCACCCTCAGGTTAAGTAACTGGTCCAGGGAAAACTCCTCCATTGCCCAAGGACAAAACAAAAGACTCACAGGTCAGAGCCAGTCAATAGTATGCTTGCTGTACAGATAAGGGAACATACCATCAGCTTGATCACGGATTTGTAGGCCATGGGCATTACCCACATATATGAAATGATCATGGTGCTTCAGGAAGAGGATGGGGCTATTTCTCCCTTCAGTTGTTAGTATTCGTCTTTGTACATCCATCTGCTGTTAGGATTCATAAGAACAGCATATGAATACTTTTTTCACTTGCAAACAAGAACTGCTTAAGTATCAAATTCATTACCCGAGGATTGAGGAACAGTAATGTCCCATCCTGAACACCAAGGTATATGAAACCCTTTCCCTTCTCCATGCACAATATTTCTGTCCCCAAGCTCTTCTCACAGATTGCAACTCCCTTTCCTGAAGTCTGAAAAAAAAGTTCAGACAATCTATAAAAAAAATTCAAAACAAATGCAAACCATGATATGCAATACCAAGGCTGAGTCAGGGAAATTTTCAATTTCATTCTGAAAAAAGACCTAGAATAATGCAAACATTTACTGCTTCAACCTGAAATCATGCTGACATCCAAGTGGCAGACATGTTTCAGCAGAGATAAGGAAAGATGCTCAACCCTAGAGCATTCATTGCTCATATATTCAACTTCTATGCATGACTTGCTTTGATTACATAAGTTTGTTTCTTCATGTGGCAGTAATAGCAGAGATTTTCAAGACAACAGGAACCAATCCTGTATTTGCACTTACATAATAATGTTAGGGAACTCATATTTATTTGGAAGTATGACAAACAATGATGTATCAATGGAAAATTTAAAAAATTCAATACTGGAATGTATGGAAGAAAATATGCAGCAGCTGAAAAGAGTAAATGATGTGGCCAAAAATATTGACCTGCAAATTACTCAGTAAAAAAACGTACCAGTAATTATTAACTTATCTGCACCCAAGACCCCCTTATCTTTGGCTCTGCATACCTCACCCTTCAATATTAAATCACAACATCAATCAATAGATTACTCCAGCAAATCCACAATTGTACAGCCCTATATGTAACCATTTAAGATGACAGATCTCCAGAATACTCAATAGGGGCCACCATGCATTCTACATTCATCAAAAGTATTACTCAGCAAAACATTTCCTCTCTTCAACCAAAAGAGACAGATTTTGGTACTGTCCATTTTGAGGCAAGAACATGATTAGATGTTTTCCTCAACTCTCTCTCTCCCTATAGCACGTTAATGAAAAAATAATAACTTGCACCAAATAAATCCATATGCTGTATCCATTCTCCTTCCACCCATCAAAGACTATTACTGTATAATCCATGAACGCTCTTCTACCAGACCTAGGGGGTGCTTCCACTGAAAGACAACAGAAGATTGGGAAAAAATGTTCAGTGGCTAACATGACAGCAACAACTGCTTATCCCTGACTTTCTTCATAACATCTAGTAATTTAGCAATTCTTCCATTGCTTCAGCATCAAAGTCAAGCCACTCAAATTCCATGCATTGATATTAAAGATCAAGTGTAACTCACATAGCAATGGAAGAATTTGATGATACCACCTTTGCAAGCACTCATCACCAATTCACCTTTGAATTCTCCAGGGTCACTGGACTGATTTGAATGCTTCAGTAACTGATATGTGTTCAGGTCACAGACATCAAGACAGGTAATTGGGTAGTAATGATGCCCAGGAAATCGACACACCAATGACAACGTCCTTGTGTGAAACACATTCAAGGATTGGTCATCGCTCACAGTAAATATTCGCCTTCGGAACAGCTGCAATCAGATGACACATATGTCTCAATTTTAAGCAAAAAAAGGTCTCCCTCTTACAGACATCAACTCACTTTCATTCCAGTGATCTTCTGGGAATGAAGTGGAAAAACCTGTTCATCATTGGATACATGGACAGATCCTACTCGACCAGTGTAATCCCTCACCCAATCTTGCTGCTGAACATTTTGTAATGAGATGATAGGAAGATTTGGCAGCTCAGGTTCTGACAGGCTCCCACTTCTTCGCCGCTTCCCAGAAGTGGCCAGGTTTGGAAAAAATTTCCTCTTTTTGGACTTTGGAAGCTCTGGTGATTCGTGTTCACTTTCTTTTCTTGATGGCTGACTTCCCTCTCCCTCCAAAATTCTTGAAGCAGGAGTTGTATTGTCAGAACTCTTGACATAGGCTGACTGGGGAAGTTTTTCTAAAGATGTAGAATTTGAATTAACGTTGTCTGAAGAATGATGCCTGGGAACTGTGAGACTGTCCAGGTTGATATTTGTGCTGGGGTCTTGAATAACAATCACCTCAGAGCCTCCTCCACTGTTGTCTATATGAATTGAAGACACAGATTTGACAGTGCTGACAGTGCTTGGTTTGGCTTTCCCACTCATGACAAACCTTGCTGTATGACTATGGGAATCCAAATCACCATGACATACATATGAACACACACTGGTTGGAGAAATATTAGCATCAGTTCTCACAGGAGCCCTGCTAACCTCTGAAGACTGAAGCTCACCAGAAAAAGATTCACAAGAGGTTCCAGCATTTATGAGTGACTGGTTTTGCTCACTGCTGCTTAGACTCACTGAAAATGTTCTGCCAGCTGATTCACATTCAGGATTAGCTGATAGGCAGTTTGGCAGACCAAGAATAGCACGTAAGGTCTCAATGCGCACATTGCGGATTCTAGCAATCTGTTCCATCACTCGAGACCTCTGTTGCATCAATTTCCAGATTTCCTGGTCAAGTTCCTCAACATCCCCACAGAGTTTATCCTCTTCTAAACTTAAATGAAGGACTTCTGCCAAATTTCGAGGATCTCTTAGCTCTTCTGCACCCATATCTGCGATGGCTGTCAACTTTCTATGAATATCAAGATGTTGCCTACGTAACGTCAGCTCCACTTGATGCTTTGATGAATGATACTTCTGAGAGAAAAGACCTCTTTTATACTGGTTAGGCCTGTACTCTTGATTAGGTTTCCATATCTTGGCTTGTGACAGAAATTTGCGCCGCTGTTGCTGCTGCTCAAGGCTGCAGAAAATACTTGATCCAGTAGCTTTGGAAGGTGATATTGCCTGAGATGGAACAGTGATGGAAGGCATACTTATCGCTGAATTTTGCACTACTCTCATTTGGGCTATCTGATCAACAATTGGGAGGGCCTCTTTTGCTGAATTTGTACATGCAGGGGGGCTGGCACTTTGGGGCAGATCAGGAGAATGTTGTTTGGGTGAGGTAGAGACATTTGATACAGTTCTGTTTTCAGACTCCAGCACACAGAAATCAGAAACAAAAGGCTGACTTTCTACTGGAACAGGAACTGAAGTACTGGTGCTTGCAACAGGGTCATACAGCTCCCTTGGGTGTCGGATATGGAATACTCCAGTTGCTGCACAGGAACCATCTAAGTATATAAGCAAGCCATAAGATGCAATAATTAGTTTCATAGAAAAGACATCAATATGCTATGCTTATGATGGAGACCATCAAGTCACAGAATTTGAGTCATCTGCTCACAACCCCACACCTTGAAAAAGAAGTTTACAGGTTATCCCTGAGGTCTTTGATGCAACAATCAAGATGCTCACAAGAAAGGGTAAGGGTGACTACAGTCCCTCCCCCTGCTACTGGTTTCTGAAGTCTACCACTTTCTATCAAAGTCAGTTCATGGCATTTTTAGATTAATATTAAGCCACCATTGAATGTGATCTTAAGAATTAAAAAAAAATAGAGCAAATATGGTAATCTCTTACTTGCCACCCCATATCCTGGATTCTGTGAACTCCCCCTCTCAAAGAGAAAAATATTTTGAAGTTGGCAGGCTAATGAAATTGTTATTTGAGGTGAACTTAGTAGCCAAAGTCATTGACAATCTAGCAAACACGATCAAAGATTTTGATGGAATTTACAGCTCTACATTATGCAACACCTTATACTCTGACACCATCAGCACCACACCAGCAACCCAAATCTTCATTTGTGTTTCATAAGCTGTAACAATCAGTATTGCTGTTTCTACAACAGTGCATCATGATGAAAGTCACACCATGATGTCACACCACTTCTTAAGTCCAACTATACATTGACTGACTCACCATGCAAAAGTGACACATTTTACCAAATAAAAATGACTGAGGATAAACATACAAAACCCCAGAGAAAAAACACCAAAACCAACAGTCATATCAAAAGGATCTTTTTTTAGAAGAGCTCATATTCTTTCAAATTCCATGACTTCAAGAATAGTGCAAGTCCATCCATCAAACCATGTGGCTCTTGCTTCAAAGGGAAATGAACAAAAGAGCAGTTATAATGGCAAAAAAAAAATATTCATTCACTATAAGTAGACAGCAGTGGTCAGAGATACTACAAGGGTTAGGGCTGGTGAAAGTCGCCCATCTACTTGATGGATAAATACCTCAATTGATTTCTATATGGATAGTAGAACCTAAAATCCATAGGGCAAGAATAATTTCTCATTGATTGCTTTGTTTTGACAAAATTTTAGCAATGCAAATGTGTCCTTCACCTGGCTCAGCATTATTACTCATTCATTCATCACATTCTCAACCCATCCAGGTTTCAAGGGATTGCAGGGAGGTTAAGAAATACCTAGCATTGTTCTTAATTCTGGGAAATGACTAGAGGGAATGTAATGCCACTAACTAAGCTTAAAAGCAGTAGGTCTACCTTGTAAGTAATCAACTAACTGATTCATCTGTTAGCCATCCTGGAATGAAAAATTCTCTTGGGGGAGCCTCTCAGGAGCCAAAGGCAGATGTATCCTAACTACCATCTGCACAATATCTGAAGTCAAAAATAGCTGCTTGACTTGAAAGCTACCAGACTTGGAATGTTCCTCCAGGAAAATAATATCTAGCTCTTGAATAAGTTATTAAATAGTCTCCAGCAAAAAGGTAATATCAAACAGTATGTTAGAGACCATATGTCTCTTTCTACTAGGCATCTAGAGATAAGAACCAGAGGTCTCTTTCTCTCCCTCCAAGGGATACTAAGAAACTTAACCCCTACTAAACAAAAATATTTTTTGCAGCAGTTTTATTTTTTTTCTTGCTTCTTATCATTGAAATAATTCCTCTGAGCACATTTTAGCATCTCAAAATGTAATTAACACTGATCTTGAATTCAGCAAAACCATCCCATTTTTATTAAAACAAAATTCTAATTTAGAAAGTTAAGATATTTATATATAATACTGTCATATATTTAAAATGTATATGCTGACCATATCATTATATATGACTAAGAAGGGCTAATGACTGCCAAATGTTATGTCAAGAATGAACTTCTTAACAAGCAAATTCAATACTCCTATACAGTAATAAAATAAGAAACAACCAATTATTTCCAATGATATTAATTTAAATATGTTCATTGAAGAAACTGTAAAGTATTTCAATGCCCTTGGGTAACAAACAAATTTTTACATTATCCTTAAACTTGCACAGAATATCAACAGAACACTACAACATTTTGACATGGGGGAAAAACCATTTAAAAAAAAAACTCCTTACCTTTTTATTGCATATGGCTAAGTGCACTCAATTTTTCAAGAACTCCCCACTTCCCCACCCCTCTCCCTCCGTACAAAAAACAATGTGATGCATGAATGATTCACCTTCTCCTTAACCCTAATTAGGACACTTTTGTGAAAAGCCACTGGCGCATCTTGAAATCAGAGAAAAATATCTGCTATGAGGTAAAACTTTCTAACATGGTAACTTCATCATAATAACAGGCCATGATAAGGACTTCCTCAACTTCCCCCCCCCCCCCCAAACTCCAATGATGTAAGTGAAAGCCACTCGAAAAATATATCCCTTTGGAGCATATTTTTCCATATTTAGACAGTTTTTAACCCTTTCACTACTGAGTTATATTTGGGAATGTTGCTGAGAGTGATGATGGAAAATGAGTTTACTCTGGAGTCACAGTTGAAAGGTTAATTAATGAATCAGTCCCACATTCATTATATAAATGGCAATTGTAAATGCTGGTCATTCCTTAAAATCCCAATGTCTACAAATTCTGGCAACTAATTAATTGAGAAATAAAGGAAAGTTTTCCCCAAGGGAATAATCCAGGAATTAAGGCAAAATAGTTGCTCTCTCAAAAGGACTTTGAAGTTTATGCAGGAAATGAACAAATGTAAAGGTCCTATATTCAGCCAAAAGATGAGAGTCAGAATACTTAAATTGAGGTCAATAAGAGATTACTGATAACAGAATAATATCACAATCAAATATGACCTGAAACACACCTGTCTTTCCAAGTGAGTCTGTCTTGTGCAGAGCTTCCTCACCTGAGGAAGATTCAGTGACACCAGAGGAAGACCCAGAACTTACAAAGCCAGGGACGTGAAGTGTCTCACTGTCCACATTCTTGCCGATGGAACTTCTAGGTACATCGACAATGGAGGTTTCCACACGATGCCACTGGAATGGCTTACTTGAGAATCTCTGTTCATGGACAGAGCTTGAACCAGACACAGGCTGTTCAACAGAAGCTGTCACATTCCTCACACCACCATGACCAGTACTTGTGTCTTGGATTTCCAAAAACATGGCAGCTTTGACTTCATCTTCCTGAGCTCCTGAGTCAGCCAACATCATTTTCACACTCGTGAGAATGTCCTCGGGCAAGTCCTGCAGTCCAACCTCTTGGACGGGAGCTTGGACTTCTTTAGCCTCCTCAGATACATGGAACCTTGCTCTATTCAGCTGTTTTGACAAATACTCTCTATGTTTCTGCAGTAAAGAGACGGCTAAAGACTTAGCTCTTGCTGTCTCTGGGTTTCTCACAATTTCCTTCAGTATTCTCTGGTCATATTTCATAGGCATGATTTTCCTTCTGTTCTCCATGCTTTCTCCATGTTTCAATGCAGTAGGGTTTACAGATGGCAAAGCAGACATATTAGATTTCTTCTGTACTGCTGGCAAACCTTTTCCAAGTCTTTCTGAGACACCTGAACTCCCTTTTGGTCTGGAGACAGGGGCAGGCTGTTTCAATCTCTTCTTAGATCTTAGTGATTTTAATTTGTCATGTTTCTTAACAATGGCTTTTGTTTGGGGGGATGTTTCACTATCATTCTTCTTTCCGGTGCTAACATTTGCCTCCCCCTTTAATGGGCTCTGAATTTTGTTCGAGACAGGCTTCTTGAGAACAGGTTTCTTGGCAATTCGCTTCATCTCTGGCTTCTGAGGAGATTCAGATTTATGCTTTGAAGTACTATCAGGTGGCTTAATCGGAGACATCTTGGTCTTTTTAGGGGTGGGCTTAGATGATGCCATTCCAGATGAGTCAGGGTCTTTGCTTTCATTTTTACTGGATGCTTGGTCAGATGACACTGAAACTTTCTTGGGGGTCAATGAACTTCTCTGTCTTGAATATGAGTTGACTGGATGTATTGTTTCTCTACGTCTGCCAGGAGCTTCACCAAATGACCTTCTCTGAGACCAATGAGGAGATTCCTGAAAATCATATCCATATTGGGGATAGAAGGAATTGTCATAATAAGGATCCCGATAACCAGGACCCCAATCAAAATTTTGCTGCCATTGATCAGTGCCATAGGTTGCCCTAAAATCATTTGGATTTTGTGAAGAGTACCATTGATTTGCATCATATGTACCAGTTCTCCACATGACAAAGAACAGGAGTATGATTATGGATTGTACCTGTCTTGAGTTCCTTTGAGCAATTCAAGGGCTGTAATGCTCCACTGCTTGATAGATATGAATGGCAAGAGATAGATCTTTAGGAAACATAAGGAAAGAACTGGAACCTATAGAAATGAAACAGAAGAAACACTACTACAGGAAATCCATCAATATTGACTCTTTTTTTAAAACTTCTGATTATATGAGGTAACTATACAGCTTTGAGCTATTTTTTGGGCAAAGCCAATATTATGAAGAAGCCCAAAGGCCTTAAAGTTGAGATTAGAAGTTGCTTCATAAACACTGACTTCTAAAAATATTAAGGGGGCAAGTTCCTAATGCCCCAGAAATAACATTGACAGAATTATTCCAGGATCCATTGGGGTAGCTCAGCACTATTATGGTAGCTGAGTGACATGCAGTAGGGGTGCTGGGCATGGCACTTCCACCCCATACCCTTACAGGGTGACACAGGGATCTCCCCAAGTTAGAGCTCTAAACAAAAAGGAAAATAATATTTTTAATTTCTTTCATGAAACATTTTGTTTTCAATTTTCCATGTGCCATACTTTTGTTGAAATTTTGCCATTCTTAGGAAGGTGTTGCCCCCTCAATAATATTGTTTGGGGGGGGGGGGGGGCACATGCCCCTTTGCCCCCTGGGTTCAGCACCCCATGAACTGCATGGCACCACTTGGCAACCAGGCAGATGGAACAAAAATATAACTCAAACAGGAAGAGCAAAGTGAATGAAAACACCTTCAAGACAAAAAGAAAAATAAACTGATAGATATTTTACAAATTTAGTGATTTTAACAACTTCCTGGTAGTAAAGGAAATTAGGAGAATAGTGAAGTAATGAGACAGGAGAGAGGAAAGGCAGATTTAGATAAAAGGAAGGGTTGGCCCTTTTCCTTCTACCAAAACTACTTCTGAGCACTATTTCTATCTATCCAAGATAACATCAACAAAAGGCTGATACTTGACTTAATTGCACATCTACAGCACTGATTACAAATATGAGCACTCCCTCAGTTAGGATTCAGTAGTTGCCTAGGACTAGGACTACCCTATTTGAATGTCAACCCAGCAATACAAAGCAAGTGACAGAAAAGTTGAAGCTTTAGCAGATATCTTTCAATGTTAAAACAGAGGCTTCTACTAAGTGCATTCAGCACTATTGGTTCTCCTCCTAAAGGGAAGATGAGAATGTAAAACAATCGTGTGGAAGGCAAGCACTTAACATGAGCCATCAAGGCATTTGTAACATTCCATCATCTTAAATTAGTGACTTTCTCATTTAACAACTTAAAAAGAAACTTATTTTCCCCTATTCCAACCCAAAACTACATCTGTGCCATAAATGGGAACCTATACAATGTACTTCTACCATTTATTAAAGGTCCACTTGCCTTCTCTGTCTATTGCTTTACTAATAAACTTAATGCGCACTAATTTGCACATTGTGCTGTAATTTCTTTGGTTCGTGTAAGGTGAAGAATGTGTCACACAAACGTAACGAATATAAGACAACAGAGCCCGGGTTAAAGACGCCACACGAATTCTCTTGCAAATCACTGTCCTACCGGCCAAAGCCTATAACATGCGCGAACGTCCCGCTGTTTTGTCACGTGCGTGATCAAAGGCGGCCTAGCTCGAGAGCTGCCATGCTTACCCGAACGACCTGACATCTATGTTACGTTGTAAGCTGCATCAACAAAACATAGATGGCAGATCGCTCTGGAAGCGTCTTGTTCCCTGTCGATGATGAGAGTTTGACTAATGTTTCGTGCGTTCCACGTAACTCCGGAAACATTCTATAGCAGACGTTATTTCACGGTCCGAAATTCTTCAGTTCCTTCCCATTAGGGTTTCTAGGCCTTTAAGCATCAGCTAACACTAAAAGAGAATAACGGATAGGATTTCTAGAGTGTTTTGCAAATGAATTCGTATCGCCTTTGACGTTGGGCGATGTTATTCTATGGTGCATTCCAAGAAATATGGGGTATATCTCCCATGATGGATTTGACATTAGGCTTATGGAGTTCATGTTGAAGGTGCTACGAATTCACTTGCAAAACGCTGAAATGCATTTAATTCCGCTTCCTGTGTTTTCCTGTTAGGACGTTTGGTGTCCCTTGCCGAGCCCAAAAGATGGTTGGATGTTAGATATATACAGGTTTTGAAATATGGTCACCAAACATCTAATTTTATGCATATTTGTCAAATTCAACCCTCTGTATTGGTTCAGAAGGCATCTTTTTCCGGTGAGGCTGAAGCCCTCGCGATGTCCTCCTGTCAATATCAACTACTTTTGTTGTACGAGGCATGCAATGAAATTTATGGATATCGTCGAAAGCCTTTGTTCTAAATGTTCCAAAGCGAGGCTTCCGTGCGTGGGTGTCGCCACGGTCGACAGCCGCCCGGTCGTAAATCCCTGGGACCATGAGAGCGAGGATCAGTCGGATCGAAGCCGCGGTCGGCCCGAGCAGTCGCTGGATCGTTTCGTTCGCTTCCGACCTCCTTGAGCCCCAGCCAGGAAGTCGTTATGAGACGCGACAGAGCCTTGGTGAGAATCGGAGCGGCGCGTGGCTTGTCTGAAAGAGGTAGACCGACTAAGAGAAAAATCTGTCAGGTGTATTGATGATTGTGAAATTTATCGTCGATGCGCCTTGCAGCCGCAATCGCTAGATCTTTGTTGTACCTTATCCTCAACATGCAAGCCAATTTCAAGCAAAAGCTCACCGGCAGATTAGCCCAAATCAAGTTCGGCGTAGGGGTACCTTATGGATGCTGAAAGTGAATGAAAAATCAATAAACCAGCCAAAGAAGTATCTATTGAAGAAGGGACTGAAGATAGATTAACCATTGTTAACTTCTTTTTTTATTACTGAGATTAAAACCTTTGTGAATTAATCAATGTTTCAAGAGTTTACCAAAGCATTTCAATGATAATCAAACCATCAGATATTAAATATATATTTATCATGTTTATGGTATTGCATTAGCTCATAAAAGCCCTGCATTTGAGGAGAGGTAGAGAAAGCAGACAGAAATAAAAGTAGTCCATACGGGGGGGGGGAATTCAGATTGCCGCTCCACAACCTCAAATAACAAAGACTTGAAATTCACAGGACAGATTCCTTGCGAAAAGGGATTGGGGTGTTCCTGATATCATCTTTCCAAGTACTCTCAGAGGAGCAAAGGAGAGCGTGTTATTTTCAGCTGGGAATGACTGAAGGAAATAACAGGCGCTACTGCGCCTTGGAGGCACGAGAGCCACCTCTGACCCCTCACCGACTCGTGCATCCTGTCAAGCAGCTTGCCGCCTTTTCCGTAGTTCGATCGATCGCTTCGATTCTTCATTCCTCAGTACTATTATCACGGCACATCAATAAACGAGTGAAGTGAGTTGTATGAGGTTGTCAGAACTCAAGAACACTTAAAAGAGTATTTCCCCGCAGGACGCGGTGAAATTATGAAGAATTTTCAGTTTTTCTGCTACGCCGGTTGTCTTCCCAAAAAAAATTGGCAGGATTCCTCTTTCAAGTATTTTTACTCCAACTTATTTTAATTCAATTTCGATTACTTGCCACTGATGACTCACATTGACCAGCTCTGTGCTACCAACGTCTGAATGCTCAACCAACGATGAATGCCCAGAAGAACCAAACCCAAAGGAGTCACTCAAAAAGTTTTAAGATACGTGAGGAATGGACATCTGAGAACGCCATCTCTTGGGCAGTTGAGACGTGTTCGTGGGAAAAGAAAACTCGAAAGAGCTTTTTCCTAGGAGCAGTCGTTTGTCTTCAGAGAAAGGAGACAGTAGTCACGGTTGAGTGCTCCAAAACCATGGCTTTCCACCCGGATCGAGAGCACTTTCGTGCCGTGATTTTTGCCCCGTACCAAAATGCTGATCTCAGCGACACTTCCTGATGCAATCAGCTCAGCTCAGCTCCCATCGAGACTTCAGAGCATCGAGAATCTTAAAAAATCATGAGGTCCGTCGCTCCTGGGTCACTGCTGAATCCCTTTAAGACTGGTTCTTTCCCTCTTGGGTGAAGCTAATCATGGAAATATTGCGGTTTTGGAAGATTTATCCTCTCCAGAGGAAGTTTGCATCAGAGCCAGGCTCTGGCTCTCAAGCAGGTTCGCCTTCATGTTGAAAAAAATCATCAAAGTAATCTGAAACAGGCTTAGAGCTGCTGGGGACACGTGCAAGCTTCCTGTGGTTTTATTTTCCCTTGCACATTTCTCTCAACTTCCCAAAAGGTGACATCTTAGGATCACTGACCATCGTGCGCAATAATTGTCCTTAATAATAATAATCTCTTATTCAAGAAAGAAGAATCACAGAGGGGGGTGAGAAATTACTATGTACAAGTACAAACAATATTATGACATGTGGTCACTGCTGGAAAGACGCAATGAGAAAAATATATATGAGAAAAAAGACGACAACAAAAAAATAGCTGGGAACAGATTGAACCACTGTATACTCAAACATAAAACTAAGAAATGAAGTATGCAACGGGTGGAATTTGATTACAGATATTTAAATAAGGAGAAGAGTGGGAGGGTATAAGAAAAAGGAGATTACTTCCGAGTCTTGAAACCCTCCCCCTCAGACTC